GTGGGAGAACATTCCAGAGGGAGGGAGAAGAGGAGGAGGAGCCTCATTCCCCCCCAAACCCACGGACCCGACGGATCCCAAACCTCAAAAAAAACATGTGAGGAAAAATGTTCCCAGCATTCCCGGGTGGTTTTCCATGGGAAGCAGGACATTCCTAGACATTCCAGGGGTGGGAGAACATTCCAGAGGGAGGGAGAAGAGGAGGAGGAGCCTCATTCCCCTGAACCCACAGACCTGATGGATCCCAACCCTCCAAAGAAACACGGGAGGAAAAACACGTTCCCAGCATTCCCAGTGGTTTTCCACGGGAAGCAGGACATTCCCAGCCATTCCAGGGGTGGGAGAACATTCCAGAGGGAGGGATAATGGGCTCTCACCTGGTACACCTGGTCGGTGGTGCTGTTCTTCTTCACCCTCACTGTCACCGTGGTGACGTCGGGCAGCGCCACGCGAAGCTCCACGTCCGACACCCCGTTGTAGTTCTGGGGAAAACCGGGAAAAACAGGGAAAAGATCCCAAAAATCGGCATCAAATTCATCCAAATCCCTCCCAGACCCCCCTGGAGGATCTCGAATTCCAGAGGGATCGAGGAATTCCCAAGGGATGAGGAGGGAGAGAGGAGGGAAGAGGTTGGAGATGGACGGGGGCGGGTTTGGGGTCACTTTGGAGGGTTTGGGGTCACTTTGGGGTCATTTTGGGGTTGCTTTGGAAGGTTTGGGGTCACTTTGGGCAGTTTGGGGTCACTTTGGAGGGTTTGGGGTCATTTTGGAGGATTTTGGGTCACTTTGGAGGGTTTGGGGTCACTTTGGGGTCACTTTGGAGGGGTTTGGGGTCACTTTGGAGGGTTTGGGATCATTTTGGAGGGTTTGGGGTCACTTTGGAGAGGTTTGGGGTCATTTGGAGGGATTTTGGGTCATTTTGGAGGGTTTGGGGTCATTTTGGGGGTTTTGGGGTCACTTTGGATGGTTTGGGGTCATTTTGGAGGGTTTGGGGTCATTTTGGAGGATTTTGGGTCACTTTGGAGGGTTTGGGGTCACTTTGGAGGGTTTGGGGTCACTTTGGAGGGTTTGGGGTCTCCCAGAGCCTCAGGCCGAGGTTTATTTGGGATATCTGGGAAAATTCCAGCCTGGAATTCCCGCTCAGGCACCGGAAGGGGCTTCCCAGGGAATCCCAACCCCTGGAATTGTCCGGGAACACTCGTGGATGTGGCACTTGGGGACAGGGATCGGGTTGGGCTCCGAGGGCTTTTCCCAGCCTTGATCCCAACGATTCCCATGGAATTGTGATTCCCATGGAATGATGATTCCCATGGAATTGTGATTCCCATGGAATTGTGATTCCCAGGATTCCCAGGAGGGGGAACCCACCTCGTCAGACTCCGACAGGAATTCCTGCATGATGTCGCTCTCCCCGATCACCCGGATGGAGCAAACTGGGGGAACAGGGAATGGAATTCCAGAGGGAACGGAATTCCAGAGGGAATTCCACCCAGGACCAGTCCATCAACCCCTGTCCCACCATCCTGACTTATCCCAAAGGGAATTCCTCCACCTGGATCCCCTCCTGTCCCTCTGTATCCCTGTTTAACTCCATGTTCTCCATGATTTGGGTTCTTCCCATGGATCCAGAACCTTCCCCAGGGAATTCCAGGACCAGCTCCTGTCCTGCCATCCTGACTTATCCCAATGGGAATTCCTCCACCTGGATCCCCTCCTGTCCCCTGTATCCCTGTTTATTCCCATGTTCTCCATGATTTGGGTTCTTCCCATGGATCCAGACCCTTCCTGAGGGAATGGGGGACCCTTCCCATCCAGGACCAGCCCCTGTCCCTCCATCCTGACTTATCCTAAAGGGAATTTCTCCACCTGGATCCCCTCCTGTCCCTCTGTATCCCTGTTTAACTCCATGTTCTCCATGTTTTGGGTTCTTCCCATGGATCCAGAACCTTCCCCAGGGAATTCCAGGACCTTCCTGTCCCCTGGGTCCCCTCCTGTCTCTCTTGTCCCTCCTGTCCCCTCCTGTCCCCTGGATCCCCTCCTGTCCCCTCCTGTCCCCTGGATCCCCTCCTGTCCCCTCCTGTCCCCCCATATCCCCGTTTATCCCCCTGTTCCGGATCCAGCTCCTTTCCCAGACTCCAGGAATTCCCACGCTTCCCAACCTTTTTCCAGGTATTCCTCCAGGCCCTCCTATCCCCTGGGTCCCCTCCTGTCCCCTGGGTCCCCCATGTCCCCTCCTGTCCCTCCTGTCCCCCCGTATCCCCGTTTATCCCCCCGTCCCGGATCCAGCTCCTTTCCCAGCCTCCCGCCATTCCCACGCTTCCCAACCTTTTTCCAGGTATTCCTCCTGTCCCCTCCTGTCCCCTCCTGTCCCCTCCTGTCCCCTCCTGCCCCCCCATATCCCCGTTTATCCCACATTCTCCTTGTTCCAGGCTCTCTCCCTGGATCCAGCCCCTCTCCCAGCCTCCCTGGATCCAGGGAGGATCCCGGATCCCCTCTCCCCTCTCCAGCCATTCCCATGTTCCCAACCTTTTT